GATGAAGATGATGAAGGGAGGATCTTCATCCATGTTTCGGTGGCCTTCTTCGCCGATTCGATTGTCCTGTGGACGGTTTCAACTGGATCTTCACCACGTTGCAAAGGTTTGTTCAAAAGAGTAGCCGGTGGCGTATCGCCAAAGCTTTCAGAGTTCACTTGCGAAGAGATTGAATCAGATTGCCAGCTGTTTGCAATTCACCGCTTCAGATGCGTTGGAAGAAAGACGCACGCTGCGAAACTTGAGAGCTGAGCTCACTCGTTGTCCTTGGATTTAATTCGACCACATTGGACTGCCCCCACGCAGAGGCTGGCCGAGACCTGTCGGGGAGCGAGATTTGTTTGTTTCTCCACCTGAAAGTCATGTAGTTGAACAAAAACCCCGCAGACATGGAGATGAAAAACCATTCTAACGACGGGGGGGTTGAAATCAACTACGTAGGCCATGACACCCGCAACACAAGCAACCCAAAAACTTTAGGCCGCACATGTTGGCCAAGCAGGCCAAGCAGGCCAAGCAGGCCACTGAAGGATTTGCATTTGAAAGATCCTCTTGACTCCTCGAACGTCCCGGTCGATCCGTTCAGGTCGTGATCCTGGGCGATGCGACCAAGCACAGGTGACGGGGGGTGACGGGGGGTGACGGTCGTGGGTGGAGCATGGCGCGATGGGAAGGATGGCGCCTGGGCGAGCCTGGGCGGGTTGAAGCCGAAGAAAGCAGAGGCTGCTTCGACTAAAAGAGGTAGAGACGTGGCCCAGCAAGCAGTTCTTGGGCCGGGCCTTTGCTGGCTTAGCTCTTGGGTGGCCAAACAAGACCTTCAAAGTTGCGAGACTTTCCGCACAGGAAGCGTGGCACGCTGCAATGCCCCACGGGTGGCTCGTGCCCGACCTCAGGGCCTCAGGGCCGCGCGCGCATTCCACTTTCGGGTGTGTCACACTGTCACACCATGTTTTCCTTTGGGGATTGGACTAGGTAGAAGACACCCTCAGGACTGGCTTTCCACAGTCCTGAAGTAAAAGTCTTCTTCTAGCACACAGCCTCATGGCACGAACCTCTTCACCTTAGTCTGGCAGTGAGACATGAGACCTAGCACATAGGTGCTTCGGCCGTACCCATCTATCTACCCAAAAGAGACTCATAGAAGTGAGTAGAAGTGGGACGGGAAGGACAATTAAGAAGCCAGAGAGTTTTCTTAGTGACTCGACTGTCATATTTGACCAAGTGGTTTGAAGGGGGCAGCTGTTTTTTGTTCAGAATATTATTTAGACTTTGTCAATTTGTCAAGTACTGAAATCAACTGAGGAAAACGTTGCTGGTGAAGCAGACACGTCTTGTCGAGAGCCCCCAAATCCATAGTCAGCAAGCCCTCCTGACCCCACGATTGCGGTGTTTTATGCACTGGTCTTCCCGCCCTCCCCAATCTGAGGTGCCATTGCAACTGCCAGAATGCCATGGCCATGATGCCGGGTATGATGCCTGGCATGATGCCAGGTGGAATGCCGCCGGGATCTGAGTCAAAACCATGTTTCAGCTGTGAGAGCGTGGCTTGGTTTGGTGGATGAAAGCCCGAATTCTCCCTACTGATATGTTTTTGAATGGCTCAAGAGCAACAATGTTCATGAAGTTCTGAGTGCCCGTCACCCCCTGATCTTTGGAATGTATTTCATCATGCCTGATGGCTGGCCCAGGTGGTTGGGGTATTTGTGAGTCACGCCTTTCCTGCCTTTGCTGCCTCTCCTCGCATCCCTTCCAATTCATTCATGATTTCAGGCTTGCAAACTGGACCAAGCATTCACTTATGTGTCCGATGTTTATATCAAACATGAGTTTGCCTTGTAGCGCTTCTGTGAGTTGGCAAACCTATCAGTGTCTATATCTAGGATCTGGAGTAAAGTGAGCGCGTCCTGCATCCATGTTATTAGACTCGGACTTTGTAAGGTTGCTAGTTTGTTCCTTGAAAGTCAAGCACTCCCAGGCTTTTGATCGAAAGCATGATCTCTAAATGCTGGTTCTTCCAAACCACCAGTGTCGGCACTCATTTCCAACATGGTGTTACACAGATGTTTGGTCATTATTGAATCCACATGTCCGTTGCAACATGTCTTTCATAAGCTAAGCCCCTTGAAGATGGCTTATGGGTTCCTAAAGAACGGGAATGCTCACCCCAACATCAAGAGAACCGCTTGACCCGGCTTTCCGAGGATGAACTCAATGCCTCAAGTCATGCCACCTCAACCGGTGGCACAACAGATGCCTCCACCGCCAGGGAACCCAAGGGAAAATCCCCGAGTCGGGCGGGGTTGCCAACCTTGGCAGAGACTGGTTGGGCCGTCAGGTTTTGTGAATCGTTGCTTGGCCGCTTTGCTTCTTGAATCTGGAGCATTTGCAGGCAACAAGATGTCTCTGGATGGAACATGTATACCCCGAACTTGTTCCCCACAGCAAGGCCGGTGTGGAATTGTGGATGAGACGGGGGTTGGCCACCGGGGTTCACCACCTGGCACCGAAGCATCCACCTGATCACGGTGGAACCGACTGGAAGCCCCAGACCGTCTGAGGCCACCACCACCACCGCCTCCGCCGCAGCCGCCCTTGCCACCACCCGAGCCTCCGGCAGCGCTGCCAGCACTACCGAAGATTCCAGAGCTCAACCCAGAGGAGAATCGAATCGAATATATAATTAGGTGTGGCTGACAATTAGAACTTAGAGACTCCAGGTCATTTTTACGTAAGCTGGTCTGTGCGCAAGGTGGGGTCCACTAGTTTCGAGCCCTAATGCAGAACAAACGGCCCAACTTGGACAAAGTGGGCCTTTCGAGGTCGTTGCCCGCGGAGTGATGTCACTGTTCCCATGTTTCGGGCTGGTGATGGTGAATTGGAGGGCTGGTGATGGTGGCACACACTGATTGGATCAAGACCCACTGGTTTGTTGTGTTGCAGTTTTGCTGTCCATTTCCATGAACACTGCACCAGGATCTGCCGAGCCTGGGTGGGGGGCTCAGGAAGTGGCGCCAGCAGTCGCAAATACTTTCAGCCACCGTGCTGAAAACTAGATGTTGATGGATGGCAGAGAGAGGATTATTCTTCCAACATGACTGGAGAATGTTCGGAATAATGACTGATTCCAACTCCTGCAACAATGACTTGCGATACAAATTGACAAGAAGTCCATTGTTCCATGGCATCTGTCCAACCTCGGCGAGCATGGCTGGAGGCCCGCCACCTCCAGCCACCTTGCCGCCGACGGCGGCACCCATGCCACAGCTCAACCTGCCGCCCATGGGCGGGAGTGCCATGGGCGGTGCCATGAACGCCATGGGCGGCGGCATGGGCGGAATGATGGGTGGCATGGGCGGTATGGGCGGCATGGGCGGCGGCATGACGCCGTTTGGCCAGGCAGCGGGGCTGCAGGATGGTGTGGCAGGGTGCTGCAAAAGGTGAAAGCACCATTTACTGATCTAGTTGAGTTGCGGCTACTTGGAGAGTGATACTCATACACATCGGTCTAGTTTGAAGGCATCCCAGGCCCACACAAGGCATCAGGCTACTGATTCGTACCCCCCAACAAAAACAACATCCTTTGTTGGTGCAACGCTGGCCGCCCAACTTCACATCGTTCCGGAGGCTGGAGGAGCAGGCGCGCCGCCTTGTGCATCGCGTGACGTCGTGGAGCACTGACGCAGTCGGGTGACCCTTTGAGTCCGCTCAGAACTGCAGACCATGCTGGAGTAAGGATTTGCACGAGGTTTGTGGCCGAGCTGGCATTTAACAAGATGAAACTGGACAGGAGTGTTTTGCTGCAAGCCTTGTGTGAGTTGTCGGAGCTTGTGATATGTTATGATATGTTGCTTTCCTGCAAGATTGTGAAATTCGCAGATGTCATCGAAGAAAGTGAAAGCCCCAGGTACCCAGTGTTCGATTGATGTTACATCCAACTTAGAACTCTTAGAAGACCTGTAGAACACTGAAACTCCAAACGAAGCTCAATCTGCAGTTGTTGCAGATGGTCTCTACATCGCGGATCATCTGCGGCCAGGTGGAGCGATGTCCGGCGGCATGCTGGGCGGCTTTGGCTCGGGCATGCTCGACGGTTTGACTGGCCAGTGCCGGGCTGAGCATGATCTGATGGTGGTGGGATGATCAAGGATGACTGACCTGCCGGGGTATACCGGTGGAAGCCGGTGGATACCCAGGGCATAGTTAGCTAAGTTGCTCCTAGAATTCCAGAACTTTTGGCATTCTTTCAGTGTTTGTTGCCCAGGATGGAAGTCTTAGAGGTATTTTAAGTATGTGTTAGAGTGGGTTTTATGCTCGAACAAGACTTGTTGTTGCCAGCCACCTACAACGTTTCGACTGGTGTATATGGTCATTTGTTGTGTTTGTTGCACATGGTTGAAATGTCGTGTACATGATTTTGACCCCAACCCACTTTGGTGTTTGAATCATAACATGCTCCAGAGCCATGTGGCTCTGGCAGTTGTGCTGAAGGAAGCGAAGAAGGAGGGTCAATATGAATTACCATAGATCCCATTGATTCAATTTATCAGGGACATGGTGACACAATAGGGAACTCACTGGGAGCTGAGACCATGAAGTCTAGCCTGTTTGGACCACTGTAACGAAGCCCAAGCAAAAAAAGACAATTTTTTGAGGCATCGCCGTGGTGAGACGGTAAAAACCTCAACGGCCCAAGGAATGAGGCCCACTTCTACCAGTATGTGCCCGGCTATGGCTACTACCGAACGCCGCTGGCCTCAGAAATTTGCCCCACATCGTGCATAACCAAATTTCTAGCTCAAGATGTGCATGTGCCAATTTCAATCAACCAAACGGCTTACGTAGTAGTAAGCTGGGAAGGCTGAACCAGGCTTTTTCAGAACCACGGAGTATTGACGGCCTGATGCACTCCTGCCCTTCCACCATACAAGTAATCCTCACACATGGTGCATGATATTTGCCGGAAGCAAGGACACCATGTCCTCCTCTTCTACTTGACGCAAGATGTCCTTCAGAACAATGACTCTGCAATGGAGGATTTGTGGTTGCCTAGCAAAAGACCCAAGCTGTTTTCATGGGTCATGATGGAAGGTAGTGATCAAAGCCTACCTTTAGCGAGAGATCATGTGGGACTAGCACCAGCAACGAACAAAAAACTGGTTGTGCTTGCTGCCCCACGTCTTCAGAGTGACGACTTCCGCATTATGAGACCTCTACACGTCCAGGTGTTCACCATTTGGACGTGGGTCTGACAGAAATAGAACTCATGCATGCGGTTTCAACCGCCATAAAACTGCAGAAACCGCCCCAGACAGCCATGAGGAAGGGGATCTTGGGCAACAGCAAGACGATGGGCATTATCACCACGGGTAGGCAGGATGGTGGCATCACGGCGGAGGTCGATCTGGGATGCAGGGCTTGGGATAAAGATGAGAACTGATTGTAAAGAAGTGAAAATATTGAGAGCCCGGCTCAAAGTTGATGTTTGGTTCATGTGCAATGCCCAGAGGTGAAAGTCAGGTACTGCAGTTTTGGAGGAGTTGTCGGGAGCGTGTAGGACAGTAGGACTGTGTTGCTCCTTGAGGAGGCATAAGCCCAGATGGCACAGATATAACGAAGCAGCAAGCAGAACCTTCAAAATTGACCAGAAAAGTTTTTGCCGTTGGGCGTGTGGCAGGCAAACCACCAAGAGCTGTGGTTGCTTACAATCCTGGTCACACAATTATCAGACGTGCCTCGGGCTGGATGCATCAGGACCGACTTCTGGTTTCGTCGCAAGTCAGACGTGGGAAAGACGAAACCCAAGTCAACATGGAAGTGGACAACAGCCTGTTTGCAGAAGAAGATCGTCATCCAAAGGGCAATTGTCCACTGAAAAAGATTAGTTTAGGAGAAGAACAAGATTGCAACGAGGGTGGATCAAGGAGCGTTCGTGCTCCCAAACGACTTGCTCCTTTGAGGTTTTGAGCTATACCCGCACTTGAGGTCCTTCGGATTTAATTGTTTTGAGCTATACTCAATTTGTGTTGATGTAAAGGGGCAAATTACCCTCCCTGGAACTAACATGGAAGTGGAAATCCCCGTGTTTGTCGAGGAACATTGTATATCCAGAGGCCATTTTCCACTTCCATGTTAGTTCCAGGGAGGGTACTTGTAGCTACTTTGCTTCACCGTTGAAGCTTAGAGAACGGATAGTGGCTGCTACGAGTTGCTCACACATGCTAATCCAACTCATGAGTCTGCAGTTCTGATTCTGATGTCTGCAGTTCTGAATCCCACAGTAGATGCTAGTTGGACCGCAACAGTCCAATCAGTCCGCCTCATTCACCAAACCGAGGTGCAATAGCTATTGCTGCAATCCGGACAACGATGCGGGCGGACCCTGGTGCTTTGTACAGGACAAGGCGGACCCTGGGCTTCTCCACTGTGCTTTTGCATGCTGCTTTGGAGATGTGATCCTAGTCAAATATACAGCCCGAAGATTTTGCAGAGCTCAGTGCAAGGTCTTAGCCACCTGCCTTGGTTTTAGTTTCCTGAGCAAACAAAAGGAAGCTGGGTTCTTTCGGACCGTCCATCCCAGATGTTCAGAGAGTCTGGAACTTTCAACAGTTGCGACTTCAAAAAGCTACAAAACAGACATGAGAGCTCTTCTTGCCAGGCTTGCCAAGGAGACACCTGGGGCACCTGCATGCCAATCCCTGGAGTGGGTTGCCCAAGTTGCTCTGACTTTTCTGGAGTGGAAGCAGACTAGTAGTGAGTAGGGAAGATGCTGGTTTTGCTTGCAGCTTGTGTCCCCCCATTTGTTGATAGGCCTTTCGCAGTGTACCAAGAGCACTCTTTCTCAACCTCTGACAAGACTTTGTCCAACGTGATCGTTTGGACTGCAAGAGCCAGGTATGCTTGTTTCTAATAGCTTCTTGTTACTACTAGTAAGGCACTTGTTACTAGAAGCGATGCACTTGTTTCTAATAGCTTCTTGTTACTACCTTCTTTCGGAGTGTTGGACCGAGAACTGCAGGTGTTTCTTGTGGGGACATGATGATGCATCTCCTTGGAAACCGTTCCCATCATTGGTGGTTTCAATGGATCCAATGGGAAGTTTCTGAGATTGTAATTTGGATAACTACTGAATATGAACACTGGAAGCTCCTTGGTGGAGCACTCCTCATCCGGAGCATCCACAGGCAGCGGCAAATCCGTTTGCCCTGGGAGCGCAAGGCGCGAACTGCTGCGCGAAGTGCCAGGGAAGTGTTCCAATTGACGATTGTTGGCTAAGCCTCCTCACTCTTCTACCTGCAGCCACCAATTCAATTCTTTTTCGGGGAAGGTCAGATCGCCCTGCTTCATGTTGGAACTATGAGGGAGAAGAGGCAATCTACAGATGGAACTTCTTTCCAAGTCCGGTATCAGAGATGTTGGACCAAATTTGGGTCCTTGCCCTGAGAGTGGGGGAAGAATGCTTGGCTCCTGACCTGGGCACTATGTCTCCTCACCATGAGCTAGGCGTCCGAAAGATCTTGTTCTTCAAATATATAGATTGTTGGATACTTGTCACATTCTTCGCCTTGCTTCCTGTTCTGGTCCAAACTGCAAGATCAATCTATCGGGTCAAACCTTCTAAGCTGCGGTCCAATTTCACAGAAATGGATCACATGTGTTTGGCGATCGACCCATTCGACTCGCTCGACTCTCTCGACTCTCTCGACGCGTCGAGAGTTGGTTCGTCAGGATATGGCTTCGCTCCAGCCGGGAGCCGCAGGCTGCAGACGGCTGGGCAGATCTCTTGGGGAAAGGAGGCAGCCAGGCACCGACGAAAGTTTCGAAGTGGAGTCACAAGACTTCAGGTCACTGTCATGGGCGATGTTCACCCGTTCACCCTCCTGTCCTAAGGCCAGGCCCTTCTATGGCCCTTCTGTGGCCCTCCTCCATTCCAACCATTCATAGAGGAAGCAACGCGGTCCAAAGCCTCACAAATCCCTTCCATCAATCCACTTGGTGTTTCTTCGCACCCAGCCATCCGCGAGGTGCAATTTCCTCCGTGGCACTATCAAGTAGGAAAGGCCCTGCTTGGCTTCTGCTGTAAAATATCACACAGCTTATATGGTGTTTTCTCGTGAATGGTGAAAAGCTGAAGACGATTTTCACGTTGACTGTTGATGAATGACCCCCCTACCAGGATGATTCTACATCTCCATTTGGATAGTTTTATGAATGAGTCAAAGATACCACTGGCTAGTTGCTGTTTTGTTCATTTCTTCAAGGTGGAACAAGACGATACCGCCAGTAAAGCTGTTGCTTTGCCCAAGAAAACAAGAAAAGGCGCCTAGTGAAGTCTGAGACCTGTGTGGCATCTCGCGACTCATCCCCTTTATACCCGACCCGTCAACAGTGGACTCCGATGCATGCAGGAAAACATGTCCATCTCCGGCGCAGCATTTAAGGCCCCGGCACCTGCACCTGCGCCGGCGCAGCAGCAGGCGAGGTCATGGCAATACAATCCAAATGCGTTTAAGCAATCTACATTACCATCAGGGGCACAGATCACCTCACTATCGCATGAAGCCTCACCTGACTGGAGCTCCACCCCATTCCAAGCTCCAGCGACGTGCTCCGGCGACATGGAGGAGTCAAGAAATGGGAACATGTGAACATGTCATGACAAGGTTATGCACGAGCACTGAACAAACGAGACAAACACAGCTGAAAGGTGTGACAGCTGCTGAAAGGTGCACCTTTTAGGTTCTGTATCCAGTGCCCAAGAAATTCCTTGGTCGTGCGAGTCGCACACCTTTGACTTGTTACCATCCAGGGCTGCCGAGCGGATCCTTCCATGTCACAGAGCTCCATGCATGACACATGTATAGGCCTCATCAATCATAGGTCTGAGTGGGTGTGTATTCAAAATAGAGAGACCTCTCAGTTCGGCCCCCTCAAACCAATGCAGGTAGCAACATAGTCCCAATGGGGTCGGAGCTTGGGAAGAAGGAACATAGACCAGTCTACCCAGTTGGGGATCTACTAAAATACACACCCATCTGTGGTACAAAAATGACATGCAGTGGTCACCGACCATGTGCATCGACAGGCTCTCGCGCAAGTGGGCAGCTCCGACAAGGCAGGGACTTTAGACTTGAAAGATTGCCCCAATCGATTCCTCCAATTTATATTGATGTATATATCAATCCTTCAAGAATGTAATACACTCCCTGGAGGAATCATGGTTGCGTGGATGGGAAACTGAGTCTTCCGAGTTCGGATGACCCATGAGTCTTCCGAAGACGAAACAGGTGGTTGTCACTCCACTCCATGATGATTGCAGGGAGTGTACAGCCACCAAGCCCACATTGAAACTGATGAGGTCGACCGTTTGGAGGAACTCATGTCTGCGTGTGTGTGTGTGTGTGGCATTTACACAATCCTGATCAAGCGAGCTCTACGTTGTTCCCAGCTAGATGAGCTAGTGCAGTGGTAAGTCTTTTTGCAAAACCATATGAAGAGGTTTTGTCATACAGTTGTCCCGACACACCCACTGCGAAAGGTAAAAATCAAGTCGCGTAAGATTCGAGGAAGCTGAAGCGAAATGACATAAAGGCATTGGTGCAATAGGCATCCTGTATGCGAAGACCGTTGTGGATGACATATAGGCCTACTGTTGAATACAGTATTGTTCACTTCTGGATTGAAACCCCCGGTGCAAAAGGCCCCTTATGCAAATAAAGCATGCCCGTAGCCGAGAAAGGACCGTGATAGCCTTTTTGCGAAAGCATGCTAGGATGACAATGCCAATTCCAGTGTGTCTTCGACACAGCTCACTTGATTTCGATATGTAGTGTGTTTTAACCGTGCTTGTGAACTGAACCAAGAATCCTGATACGGTTTTGCATTGGTTCTCCTGTCCGTGTCAGCAGGTTGGTGTGGCGCAGGCTGTCCGGTGGAGGGGTGGAGATAGCGATTCGTCCATCATTAGTACAGTCGTGTTGGGCACAGGCTGTTCTGATTTGTTTGATCAGTTTTGGACGGGACACATCTCCCGAGCGGGAAGAGTTGAAGAGTTTGTCAGACCCTGTCAGGCCCTGTCAGGTATGCGATGTGAGTCAGGTATTTCGAACCAACATATCATGTTCAGTACGTAAGCCTCAATTGCTTACGTAGGTGTGTCATGGGCTTCTTCTTGCACATGGTACTATTGGGCTTGCACATCTTCTTGTGCATGATATTTCATATGCTGGCTTTGTCCGGTTCTCCTGATTGACTCTTTGTGGGGCACGACTCTTGCAGTCACAGAGGGACCGTTCAGGTAGAGGGACCGCTCAGGTAGAGGGACTGTTCAAGTAGAGGGACCGTTCTTGCACTGAGAATCTGCTCCCATATATGGATAAAAAGGGAAACAACCTGTGATGAACCAAAGCATAGCTTGCCCATCACAGGCTGACTTCTATCCGCAAATGGTCTGACTTGACCCTCAAAACCTCTGAAATTGACATGAGCATCTCACTGTTTTAGGAGGAAGTTGCATGAATTGGTACGGCGCTAAAGAAAAAGAAAGGATTCCCAAGATTGATGATCCAAATGTCCATGAAACTCCATATCAATCAGCAGAAGGCTTGGGTCGGGTTGGGCTCAGAACGCCCGCTGGGGCCAGAACGAGACTGACCCGGTGATGGAGGACGCCCGGTTGGAACGGATCCACAACGGATGGTTGCTGGAAACGTGAGACCCAACGCCTGGAAAGAGCGAAGACCGCATGTGCAAAGACCGCAAGCACTCTTTCCAGGTGTCTTAACTCAACACGTTTCACTTAACTCGACTGTTCGAGTCGTAGTGTTTCTTCGGAAAGAAATCAGGCATTCAGGTTAACAGGGTTTGATTTTGGCATTGTGATATGATGGTATGACTCATGTATGACCGTATGACTGTTAGTTACAGTAGTTGACATGAGGACATGCAGTTGATTTTGGTATTTCATGTAGAAAAGTAGCTTTTTGTTGAATACTAGGGGCTCTCTCTCTCTCTCTCTCTGTCTCCACCCCATCTCGTCGACCTCCACCCCATCTCCAGGAGTTGGTGAACACCATGGCTGATGCTTCCGAGGCACCCGAGCACTGCTGAGGAACTGGACGAATTCCCTGCAAGACATGACACGACAAATAAATAAATGAAATAAATATATATATATATATATGCCCCTCTTCGTTTCACTGTCATTTGCTTGACAAAAAGTCTCTGGATACTTGCTTGAATGGAAGAGTTGGAAAGGTAGACAGGAAGAAAGCACTGAGAAAAGGATTGTAAGGGCAATCCTGCGCTGCGGGAGAGTCGTCAACGGTATCTTTTGCAATTGGTATGACCTGGGGTATGCTTGCGCTAAGTGGTGCAATATCTCTATCCTCCACAGTAAGGCGTAGAAGTATGACGTACAATGGGCATAAATTGACCACATGAAATCAACTGACGTCACATTGATCGTAAAGGCGATCCGCGCCGCATAAGCTCTACTTTCTTGTTGCCTTGCTTTGTTGCTCGCTTCCACAAAGGTTCGCACTAGAGTTATATAGCTGAGCAGCTCCAAGAATGTATCTTGTTTGGACCTGTAGGGGTTGCCGCTCATTTGAGCTACTCAACTGGACCCGCTGTAGTGGTCGCGATCCATGGCAAACAAAGAAGGGGGTCAAGGTCTGGAATCGGAGTTTCTCTTACCTCGCTGCCAGGCCGAACCTCGTAAGCCAGGGCCCTGGCCGATGAAACGCTGGGAATGTCACAGATGCAGGTGTGTACTTGAGGTGCCTCACAAGGCTCGATCGGCGACCCAGCTGACTGGTGGCAGTTGTTACTATGTCTTCCCAACCAAATTGGTATGTTGTGTAAGGGTCTCGAATGTGGTAACACCGTGTAGGGTAAGATTCGCATTTGTATCCTTGTTACACGAGACTATTCTTCCTGAGCGACATGCATTAGGAAGAGTTTTGTCATCCTTAAAGGAGACGGACTCCAATACTACTTAGCAACACTCTGACATTCAGCAATTAAGGGTAGAAATCTACCCTGCCTCCAGATGTGTTTGCTGGCCAAGTGACGCATGTAAAAAATACTCCCCTAATCTCCCCTAGGTTTTGCTGTGGTTTTGCCTTACAAGACTTCATTGACTACTACGGGGCAATGACTACCGTTACCTACAATGGACTACGTTACCTCCATGCCTTGCCACCGGACGCTGGCTCAGTCTGCATGTTCGTGACACCTTGCCACCAGAACCTCATGCGCTCAGAACTTCTGTGGGTGGGACTCTGTTGGATGAGACGGTTGAATGAAAGGCATTTGCGATCAAGCCTCATGCAGAAGGCTGTCAAGCAGGCCTGAAGGGGGGCCAAAAGAACTACAGTACATCCCAAGCACATGGATGGGAAGTGCTTGCTTTCAGACATGAACCCGGAGCGCGCCTTTTGAACGTTCACGACGAATCTTCCTTGTGCGTCTACTGCATTGCTTTTTGAACAATTTTCCGACCATTCAGCCTTTTGCAACTGAGTGCAGGTGGACATAGCCTTGAAGCACATGGCATATGGCTTTGTGTCAACACCACACACCACCCCGCCATATCCTGATTTACGCATCAGCAAAGTTGGCATCGAGGTGGATGTGGTGACCGTAAACTTGTTGATAGTGGACAGAAACCACAGGTTGTTTGTAGGTCCAGAGAAGTAGCCACCCGGTGTGGGTATGACCTCAGAGAAGAGGCCGCCCCAACTGATGGCACTCACAACAGGTGGAGGGTGCCGCTTGCGATTGCGTGCAATGCCCAGATCAGCTGATCTCAGCTATCCATGACACAAGTTATTGTATGTCATACTGAGGGAAATACTGATGTCTTGAGTGTAGCAGTCTTGATTGTAGAGGCTCACTGAATGGCAAGTGCATGGCATGACCTGCTCCCAAAGTTGACCGAACACGGCTTCACTTTCGACCCGCGTCGATGTGCGTCGATCCACTCCTTGGCCAGCAAGGATTGAGTGGAC